TGATTGCTATTATGCGAGACATACAGAGGCACATAAACAGGAATAAAAGGAGAAGCAAGGTAGGCAAGGCCCAGGCGCCTTTGGATTGAGTACGGGATGGGATACACAGAGAGAAGCTAGGGGAACGAGTGTTGCCGAAAGCGGAATGTTCGCATTTTCCAATGAATTTTCGATGTCTTTTCTTGCGAAGTGTTAAGGAAACTGGAAGTCAGCATTGCGGTCTCGCAGATAACTTAGTGCGCGCCAGAGCAAGCATTCTTCAAAGTGTTTGGGTATATAACTGCTTCAAAGTTCAAGCAGTTTTGCCGCAAATCGCAGACGCTGGACAGCTGATATATTTTTTGTTTTAGAAATTTAAATAAATCAACTTATTTATAAAATAAATGAGAACTTCTAGAACTTGGAAGAGGGTGGACGCCCTCCTTTGTCCCAAGCGCCAGCCATAGCCACGCATACCATCTCCAGACATCCTTGTTTGTTTCATGGAGTGAAGAGTAAAGGTGGAGACGTCCTGAGTTGATGAGGACGGTTGGGTGTTTTCGGGGGGACATTTTCCACGCAACATTGGCGGGTTAAACGCTAAACTAATAGGAATTACACCTCATTCCCATTTCCTTCCTCGTTAATGTTTCGCCGGGACACCGGTGAGAACAGGCATGGGTTTCCCTTTTCCCTGAAGCCCGATTACGATGCAGACAAAGCTGAGAGCGACAACAACCCAGAGACCAGAGGGGTAGGGATTAGAAAATGTGAATGAAAGAAGAAGCAACTGAAACGTGGGTGTATGCACTCGGTCCCGATTCCAGTCTCAAGAGCTCAAATGGTGGAATCCATTGGGGAGAGTGGGGGGAGGAGAAGAGACGAGAGGGGGGGGGGGGGGAGAGAGAGAGAGAGAGAGAGCTCTGCCCCATTTGTCAAGAGAAATCCCTCCAGGCGCCGGGTTTTGTTGCTGTTGCCCCGCCATTCCTGTCCCTTCCCTTTATTTATCATTACCTGCTCAGCGGGAAGAGATGGGTCGAGGAGATAACCCAGGGCTAGCAAGAAACATCATCCGACCCTCATTCAATCCATCCCCTTCTATTTACTTACTTCTTTTTTCATTTTCCGAATTTATTGCCCGGGGAGAGGAAAGCCCAGCAGAATGCTATCGCCTTTCTCCTTCCACGCCCTAAATGCGATTGAAGCAAGGAAGGGGGGGACACAAGTGACTTGAGTGTGGATTGTCATTCAGAGTCTCTGTCTCTGAAGATAACGGGGCTTGGGATGATTCGGTTAATCGAAGCGGAACAGAGTCATAGACCCCCCCTAAAGGAGAAGGAAAGATGACTCGCGAGAAAGTTCACCTCAACAACATCCCCGTGTCCATGAAAGGATGAATGAAGCGAGGAGAAGAAAAAAAAATTGGAAAACGAGGACACACACATACACACACGGGAGAGAGACTCAGGTCACCCCACACACATGCCTCTTTTTTTATTCAAAGGGAAGAAAAGAGAGAGTCTCTCTCTCCTCAATCATGCTTTGAAATGCTTTGACACTCACTGCCACAAACAAGCATTCATTGGGAAAAAGGACAGACATCCCCAGTCCCCTGCCCCCTGCCCCAAAATGCGAAAAAGGAAGAAAAGAAAGAGCCGGTGAGATCCTCAGACCACCACCGTACTGCTCCGAGTTTCTCACGCCTCTACATGTGAACAGATTTTGGACTTAACTTCTTGTATACTAGCTCTAGTAATTTTGTTAGCAAAGGGTAAGCAGGTGTATAAACATAGTTGAGAACAGCAGAGAGTTGTCTACTTGCCCCTTCCGTCTGCTGATTCCACCGTTTTCTATTTCTACTTGAAGAACCTAACCCATATGCCAATCCGAGATTAATACGAGGGTATAAACAAAACTCGAGGCGATAAGGAAGCTCATAGAAAAAGGTACAAGAAGGAATGGCTGAGAATGAAATCGCAATTTAGGGGCAGAGGAATATATTTATTCCAATAGAAAACGGTTTCATTAAATACCTGTGGCTGAGTATTATTCGTAGTTAATGAAGACAGTCAGCAAACTATCAGTCACAGTAGTGGCAATATCTATAACATGCCTATGTTTCATTCTTCCTATTCCTTAGACGATCTCTAGTTCACAATTGGAAGCTGAAACGAGGGAGACCAAAGCATTGTAGGTTGCTAACGGCAAAAAACCTCAGGACACTGTCTCTTCGAGTATTCAATTCAGCATCAATTTCATATTCATGTCCTTGCCACAAATAAGAAGTCGCTACTGTGCTACTGCTGTCGAAAGATTCTTGAACCAAGAAAATGGCGGAAAATTCGTGGGAGGGAAGGGCTGCCTAATGGGTGCAACACTTCTTGCCAAATATCAAGGCCACCTATAAAAATTAGCTAAAAAGACATCTATCTCGGTGAGAGCTTGACAACGTTTAAATTTGTATTTAATAAAAATATGAGTTCGTGTGAATTTTGAACTGGTGTCTTCAATTGGCTAGTATGTGAGCGAGGTAGAAACTAAGATTTCTCCCTTTTTGGGGAGGAGGGTGGTGGTTTCTGGTGAGTCCTTTAGTACCAATCACTGCGAGTAATTTAGATAAGCGGTGGTTCGGCATTTCAAGTCAAAGGATGATTAATGGAAGAAGAGGGTGGGTAAGTTTCAGGTCGAGCTATTGAATATTTTGTCTGGAAAGCGAAGAGACATGGTGATTTGGGAACCATACTACCCATCAGATCAGCGCCGCCAATGCAGCTCTGTTGTCCCCTCACCCTATTGACAGTATGCCCAGGGTTATATCCAATGCTCGCAGTTATGGGCGAAGAAACTTCGGACTTTTTTATTTTTTAATGAAGAGGTAAGTCCACCGGCAAGTTCTGGCGTGCTGTGAGTTCCACCGTGAATGGATTGTCACGTCTAGTCCAGATAACACATATACGCTATCTGTAGCGCATGTTTGCGGACGGTTGACCAGTCTCATGCTCCTGAGTCCAGGGGGAAGGGAGAGAACTCCTACTCCGAGATACAGTGACTGACATGAAGAGAGACAAACAAAACGTCATTAACCTCTCAGGGCCCTTCGTTCCTTCTCCACTCTCATGAGTCACTCACTCGTCACTTACTTATTGGACGAAGAAGGAAAAGGAAAGAAAAAAAAAAGGAAGAGGGAAAGGGGGGGGGGGCATTCCGGTGGTTTCCCACTCTCTTCTGCCGCTCTGGTTCTGAGTCAACCCAGGGAGAGAGAATGGAGGGAGAGACAGAATGACTCGTGATTTATGAGTGGAGGATTGGGAATAAAAATGCTTTCTCGGAAGGCAGGCGATCCGGTCTCTGCCCATGTCCCCAGCATATTTTCTGTATGGGCATGAGAGAGAACGCGTGACAAGCATTGAAAAGGAGAAAAGAGCCGACAGCCAGGTCACTGGCACCAGTCCCTTGACTTGACATGACACGACATGACATCCTTGGGATCCAGGGTGGTCTTGTCTCGCCAGGTTTGGCTTCTAGCTAATTCCCCACATTTTATATTTTAACCACCTTTTGGTTTACAAAACCAGTTTGCTATTTTATTTTTAAAATATATTTTGTATCACAACTCTGTTAAGTTTACATATCCATAACCCGATAATTTTTTTTTCTTTTGAAAGTGACTGCACAATAACCCTTCCCGCATTTCGGATCACACACACACAACGGGTTATGGACGCAGGGTACCAGTATTAATTGACATGGAATAAGTGATGAACACGAGTCTGCTCACTAAGCACAACACCCATATCGAGTAAATACATCGTGGGCATCAACCTTCCTCCTCCTTGTCTATGCCTACGGTAGTGTTTCACACTCTTCCGCTTAACTTTGGGGGAAATCCTTTCAGCACGAGATGAAAGCTGGTTATCTGGACTACAATCCCATCGAACAATACGCTGAGCACCCATAAAGCACCCCCTTAATTCGAAAGTGTCGCCATCAGGTAGAAAGGATGTCTCGAGAGCAGTTTAGGAAAGTTTTTTCTTCCCCGCGAACCTGAGGCGACAAATCAAAATTTCCCGGGAAGGATATGCAAGCGGACTAAGCGGGCCGGGCTGACCCCGCCCGCCCGCGCGTCTCTCCGTTCCCGCGAATCTCGTTCGCAGGGGTTATCCTAACCTGCTCAAGAGTAATACAAAACCGTCGTCTGTGCAACAGGGAACACTACCAATCGGTCACCTTGATGGAAGAATGCAAACGTTTAGGAGGCGCAAAGCCTCCATTTTCAGGAAATATAATAATCGAAGTTCGGGGGAAACTTTTTTCAAGCCTAAAAATTGTCGCGATCATCAGTCACTAAATAGAAAATTACATTTAGTTTAGAATAAGACTTCCTCCGCTAGTTGGCATTTTCCCTTTTATAAGCATACTTCTTATATACGTAGCCGACGCTAGATTTTGCCTTTTTTTATTTTAACGAGAAGGCAATAATGGTGAACAAGAGGCAACTCCCGAGAGAAACTAATCCTTGAACACTTCTGATTAAGTGTTCAAGGATGAAGATATTGCCCGTGCCCACAGTGACTGTTCGGACACCCTCAAAGTTGACCATTTTTTTAAACTCCGAAATACCATTGGGGAGTGCAAATGTAACTGATATAGAGTTAGTTGACAGTTTGTTCCCTACGAGACGTGCATTGGAGCCAGGCTCGTCCGCTTGCCACTAACATTTCCACATAGTTCACACGCAATGAGCCTTGACTTAATTGATACCGCTTCCACTCTCCCTTCATCTACTTATTGGTATTTATCTCAGCTATTTTCAAGCTAGCAATTACTCCAGAGAAAATTGCATAACTTGGAGGGCATAAACCACAAATAGAACAAAACTATCAGCAGGACACGGGTTCATTTTTTTTGCCCGATTTCGAGAACTCACTACTCTCTGCTGACTCATACATTCGTCCAGGAATACCATCGCCTTTATCGCATACGCCATCAGCATAAATAACTGGTTCTCTGGAAGGACCTACTCATGCAGGGCAGGTCAGCGAGGAAGTAGACGCGAGGACACTCACATGATGGTGCTGTAACAAGGTGTTGGCACTGGCTGGAGGTCTCCAGGAGTTCAAGGAATGGCCGCTGTATTTCCCCATGGCCGTGGCATAGGGGCGTTCGTAGGTCCCAGTCCCGCTAGAATCCAAATCTTCCCCTCTCCCCCCCCTTCCTCTTCCTCCCACCAGGCTCATGTGGGGATGGGGATGGAGGTATGAGTGGGTGTGGCCGTGGATCGTGGTGGATGCAGGGACAGGGAGATTGTTGCTCCGCGGCTTCGCCTCAACGTCTGGCATGGAATAGCGCAGTTTCTGCCAGAACTGTTTCTCACCCCACACGATCCAGGTGTTCGTCTTCATATACAGGCGAAGGTCCGGATCTAAGTCCCGGATCGGCACTTCTCCCAGAAGAATCACGATCAACCGCTTCCGTCCATCTCGGAGCACTTGATGTAAGGCACTCTTGAACTCGAAACGACACCATTCGCTTTGAAGAAAATTAGGAGATAACACAAGGATCGTCCTCTTGGAACTCTCCACGGCTTCCACGATAGTATCCGCTAGATAGGCGGAAACTGGAAAATCCCTATAATGAAGACACAATCGATAGGGCGGATTCCCTTGCTCCAATTCCGGAGCCAGGATCTGGGTCACGTAAATTTCATCCTTGGAACTGTAGGTGAGAAAGGCATCAAAGAGACGCTCAGAATCCCCCTCGAAGGCGGACTTCCCACAGATCCTGAGGCCACAATGAGAGAAGGCCCATACTCGAAGTTCCTTCCTATACACAAAACTCAACACTCCGAAGATGGCGACGATCAGGAAGGCACCCAGGGTCCCTAACAACAAGGGCAGGTAATCATGAAGAATGGCCGGTTCCACGATCAGCACGGGTCCGTGTCCATCAGACGCCGAAGACGAAGACGACGAGAGATCGCGATTGGCCGATCCAGTCTGGGGGACTTGACAGTGGGAAGATGCATTTTCGCCCACTACAACCACACTGGCATTGTGAGTGCACTGAAGAATCTCAATGTCTGACACCTTGTGATGATTGTGCTCTAACCAGGCTGCAAAGCGACTGACATAATCACAATCACAAGACCAGGGATTCTGGGCCAGAGTCAACCGAGCCAGATACGGATTTGATGATGGAAACTCCCATACAGGGAACACCACCAGCTGATTCCCATGCAGAGTCAGAACCTCCAGGCTCTTGAGACCCATGAATGTGTCATTGCCAATCATCTTTAGGCGATTATTGTGCATATAAAGCTCCCGGAGGTTCACAAGCCCCTCAAAGCCAACTCTATTGAGTTTCTCCAGAATGTTGTTCTCCAGATGAAGGATTCGCAAAGACCGAAGGCCATTGAAGGATTTGTTCCCTATCTCATGGATCCCACTGTTATTAAGATAAAGAACTTGCATGTTCTTGCGGCCAATGAATGCATGGCTGCTCAGGTCCAATTTCAGGCTCCCATCCATGTATACCTCAGTTGCATCCATTGGAATTCGATCCGGGATGGTGCGATAACCAGATGATGAACAATCAACTATATTAGCTGACCATGACTGGTCATGATAGCAGGTGCAATTGACAGGACAGGTCATCTCACAGTCACATGCATCAAAGTCACAGCAATGACACAATGCAAAACAATGAGTGTGATAGGTGCAGAGAAACTGGGATGAATCTGCTTCCACAAGGGGCATGTAGGACTTTTGGCGGTTGAATAACAGCTTACAATACACACTGTCAAGGTCCATCACTTGTGGATGTTGTCTTAGATGATCTAGGCTTCCAATGCGTTGAAGCCATTCCATATGGCAATCACATTGAAATGGGTTCCCCCCAATATAGAATTCTGGTAGAGGGTTTCCACTCTCCTTTGGTGTGATCCGTAAAGCATTCAAGTCAAGATTGACCAACTGATTAGCAAAGAGGTCAACTCTAGTGAGATTCTCTTTTTCAAGGAATGTGTATGGTTCCACTTTTGTAACGAGATTGTCATTGAGGAAAAGTAGCTTCAGACTGTCGGGCAAAGATTTCCGATTGATCTCAGTAATTTTGTTGAATCCTGCATCCAGGGTTTCCAATTCCAAATGAGATTCTAGTTCAAAATAATTTCCCAGCTCCTTGATCTGGTTCTTGTGGATATCCAGCCACTGAAGGCTCTTTGGGATGAGGGCATAGTCAAACCACTCAATATCATTGTCTGACACATTTAACCAGATGAGGCTTGGAAGGTTGCTGAAGAGTCCATTGATGTCCTTTAAATGGTTGGCATCCAGTCTAACAGCATGCAAATTCTTGTTCTTCTCAAATGCATTCTGGGCCACACTTTCAATCTCATTGTGTGCAAGATTTAGGATCTTGAGAGCAGGCAATGAGGAGAAGGTTTCCTTTGTGATGTTTCCTATCTTATTGTTAATCAATCGCAATCCAAACAGTTGGGTCATCTTTGTCCATGGTGCATCTTCCAAGTTTTGAACTTCATTTTCCCCTAGATCCACTGTTCGCAGAAACTGGAGAGGAGCCAATGCCTTTGGTACTTCCCTCAATTTATTGCTATTGAGGCTCAACTTTTGGAGATTCTTACAACTCTCTAGAGCTTTCTCATGGACGTTTTTCAGTTGATTATGATCCAGATCTAAGACACTCAGAACCTGTAGCCCATTCAAGTGCTGAGAATTTAACTCATGGAGCTTGTTGTGCGAGAGAACTAAAGTGTGGAGATTGGAGAGAGAGCCAAATGTCTCCTGACCAATTATAGAGATCTCATTGTGACTCAATCGTAAGATCTGGAGGGCATAAAGATTCTTGAACATGGATGGCGTCAGTTCAGTCAGTCGATTGTGAGACAGGTCCAAAACAATTAAGCGATTCAAGTCCTGGAATGTATCCTCTCGAAACCACTCACTTGTCAAGTCATTCCAAGAAAAGTTAAGTACAACTAATTCTTTGAGTCCTGAGAACAGGCCCGGTGCAAGAACTCCCAGGGAATTGTTCACTGCATAGATGCGCCGCAAATTTTTGCTGTCTTCAAATATTTCAGGTGGTAGAGCAACTAGCTTGTTGTTTGAGATGTTTAGAACATGCAGATTCAACAGACCATCTAATGCATGATCTGCTACCATAGAAAGTTCATTGTTCTCCAGATGTAGCTCTCTCAGTTGTCCCAAGGAACGAAATCCATGAGATGGTAACACAACTATATCATTGTGAGAGAGATCTAAAGTCAGAAGTTCAGGTGCACAAGGTTCATCTCGGAAGCTCAATTCCACTATTTCTTGTATTCGATTCCCTGACAGATTCAGGAACTTGAGGTATTTCAATTGGCAGAAAATCCGAGGAGGGACTTCCCAAATATTATTCTGACTCAGATCCAAATATTCCAAAGATCTGAGTGGATCCAGGGACCCAGGAGAAAGCTTGAGGGACATGGCAGACCACTCTGTGTTCTCTGTACGCAGGGAGAGATTCTTTAACAAAGACAAGCCTTGGAATGCCAATGATGGTATGTCCCCCAATTTGCAATTTTCAATGCTCAAGTCCTTCAGGGAATGGATGTGAATGAATGTGTGGTTTTGCAAACTGCTCTGGAAGAAGAGCACATCACTGCATGTGATCTGTAATGTTCTTGTTACTTGAGAGTTGATCTGTTGCAACTCAGCAGTAAAATCATCATCAATGGTCCGAAGTTTGCAACTCACTGATACTTCCTTGCTGTCCAGGTCGACATAGTGCCACTCACAATCGTGCGGGGCCTCATAAGATGACACCGCATTAATCCACAGTAGGCCCAACAGGCCAACTGTCAGCACACCGCACACCAAATATCTCATTTTTAAGTTGGCCTAAAGGATAGTCTACTCACGTAGACTTTTCAGATGGAGGAAGGCACAGTCACGAGGCCCAGGCCTAGGCCTATAAACGAAAGACTCATCAGTTGGCGATATCATCGAAGCAATCCTCCCTCATGCTTCCGTCACGGTTCGTCATGAGTCCTTCGCCAAAGTGAGCTGATGTTGTCTTCCCTAGCCAGATCTGATGTGAAGACGAAGAGATGGATCACAGCAGCAGATGCTATGGCCGAGAGCGACACACAAAATGGCGACGGGAGATAACTCTCTCTCTCTGCTCTCGAGTTCTCTTCCATGCCCTGGGAGCACAAGCAGGCAAAGCCAGCAGGGAAGGAGGGGAGGGGAAAACAGGGATGTGGACTTGGAGTGCGCATGCTCTACCCCCAGCATTCTACCCCCAGCATCCCTAGATGGCACCATCATCCAGACCATAAACCGAGGCCATTGACCACCGTAGCCCCTCTAGTGTTTTACCCCCATGTACAACCTCCCCTCCGACAAACGAAAATGGATTTTACAGAAATCAAACTGAATTCATCTTTAAATCCCAAGTTTCCAAAGCTACACGCGCGCTCTCATCCCAAATTTTCCAGAAGTCCTGACTGCTGCGCCGAATAAACCGAAAAGTTAGTTTTTTTGCTTGTCACGAGATTCTATACCTACTGCCTTACTTAGCCTACTTACCTACATAGACTAGACTGTCCCTAAGAAAGAATATATTTGCTTGGGGTGATACAGCCAAAGCGGCCATCCCGAGTATACTCGGGCGTGAGATTTAATGGGTTAAGGGCAGGGCCACGTTGCATCAGATCGCGTATCGAAGCAAAAAATTCGTACATTGCTTTTGGATTGAATTCGCACCTGGGTGGTGGAGAACGGATAAAGCACTACTTCCAGAGGATCTGCTGCATCATATGATCCAAAAAACAATCCTTGAGGAATGTGTCATTACCTGCAATCGATGGAAGCTTTCCTTTGCTCCTTTCCTAAGTGCCACCCGCGGACCAAAAAGGATGTGCCTGTGTGCGGCTGGCAAGGCAAAGTGGAAAAAAAAAAAGAAGAGATGAGTGGCGCTCACATGGAGGGCTGAGTGCTTTTAGCATGATCGTATCAGTAATACGAAGTACTTGACAGAGTAAGGCAAGATCAGCAGCAGCATCGAATAGCACCAGGTAATTTTTAAAAGGCTGGCTTGGAAGTGCATTAGGTGCGGCTTCTGAAAGGTAGGTCTGTCGTTCTCGTGCCGTGGAGGGCTAGCTGAGGGAGTTTTCAACTAGACCAGTGGTACTCAAACTGCAGTCTGCGAGAGCCTCGCAAAATGTACTCTCCAATAAAGGATATTTTTTTAATAGTGTCGGTAAGCCTTTTTTCAGTGCGGTCCACGCAAGTTTCATAATTTCCGGATGCGGTCCCTGGCTCAAAGAGTACCACTGAGCAAGATTCATCGGTGCAGAAGAGATGAGAGGAGTCGAGATGGCTATGCGGGAAATGAAGAGGAATTACGTAGTCCCGAGGCTGATTAAGGTGGAGGAGGCACTCAGCGATTTCCCATACTAGCAGATCAGTCAGGGTGTGAGGCATCGTCGCAGTACAACACTTTTTAATAAAGTCCACTATAAATTGGGGGACTCGGGCAATTGCATAACCACGTAGGACATGAAATTGACGAAACGCTGCAATAGGTCGACGAAGGATTCGTGTGACTAGAAAATTTGATTTCAGGAAAAAGCATCTGAAGGCGTTTCCAGTTCCTGTTGGGAAGGAAGCTGGCTAATGGTAGACGTGCAGTGACCGATTTTCAACACGGTTCTGCAATACTCAGCGGTCGAGAAAGCTAGAGCCAGGACAGATATACCCGGAGTACGCTGGCCTTTGCACTCTATATAGTGCCTGCGAGCGTCTGGATGATTTTGGCTCGCGTTTTGGTTTTCGCTGAAACCTCTTCAAGGTCACTTGAAGGTTAATTAGCGTACGGTCCAATGTGATCCCAAGGTAGAGTGGGTGTGGGTCGCACTTCACCTGTTTCCCACGGAAAGTGACGTCGCGTGCCTTATTGGCATATTTATTGTCGAGATGGAAGATCGACACTATTGTTTTCGATGGGTTCGGTCGGAGTTGCCAGTGGTTTAAGATTGCCTGCAATTGTCTCGAGGTCGGATGTCAGGATGTTCTCGATCTGGTGGAAACCGGCTCTAGCTTTCTCGGGTGCCGAATATTGCTCACCGGTTTGGTCAGGGAGTTCCCACATGAAGTTGGTGGACACCCAACTTAACACGGTGATGCGGACGATATCAGGAACCCTCAAGCCCACTCCAGCATTGTGACTCCTCGTTCTAGCGAACATAGGCTCGTACATAAGCCTGTTATCCGACGCCAAACAGCATCCTTCCAGGAAGCCAAGCGGCTGGCCGACAGCCCTAACCTGCCAATCTGCGTCGACCTGCGTCGACAGAGATATCCCGTCTGAAGTCCGGAGGACCTTCCTGGACGATCACCCGCCGCCAAGAAGCCCTTCACTATAGCGCCGATGACACCTGGCGACAATTGTGGCACGAAGCGGGAGTCGCAAATGATTTATTAATATAAAAGACCCAACAACCCAAACAACCAGGTTGCGATCTTCGCTGCGGTTATGGTCATCTATCAATCTCATCCGAACTGGGTTCGGCAAATGTGGCCACTTAATGCACAAATGGAAAGTCATAAATTCTCTGGCATGTATTTGTGGAAGCGCCGATCAAACCATGGAACATCTTACAAGGCAATGTCCAATATACAAGTTCGTCGGTGGAATCACTGAAGTACACTCGGCTTCGGATTTTGCAATCGAATAGTTATCTAATCTCAACCAACATTTATAAATTGTTGCTCTCCAAGAAGAAGAACACGGTTCTGAAAGGTTCCATGGAGGTTTGGATTCGAAGCCGAAGAGACAGCCACTCTAGTTTACAGATAAAATTAAATCACTGATCGGAAGCGATTTGTTGAGTTGGAAGCAAAGTAGGAAAAAGAAAATTGGAAGCGAATAGTAAGAGGCAGAAATGGGATTCATACAGAAGCACAGGTGACCAAGCGGAATACAAAGAAGATAGCATAGCTAAGAGGTCATGAAGCTGGAAATCAGGTCAGCGAAACGGAAGCGAGAGGAGCGGCCAGCTACCAATGGTGAGAATGATTCCAATGTTTTTATCGGTTTGTTACTGGTAGAAGTGGACACTCGATCGGGTCCCGAAGGGCGGCAGGGAAGAAGATTTATTTGCTTTTGTGCTCACATGTGAATCCGATGACTTTCCGACGACGACAGAGATCATTTCAGCGTGCATCTTATCACCTTTCGAGAGGAAGAGATCGTGAGTTGGATAGGGAAGCCGGCGGCAAGAGCGGCAACCTGCCCCGATGGGATTTCGGGGATTTCAAGGAACTCGCGAGAGAAGAATCGCTATCGTTAAGAATCATCTTGAAGAATAGCATTTTGGGTGGTAAAGTGCCTTGGGATTGGATATTAGCGAACGTCGTGCCAATCTTTAACCCATCCGCGTACCATTTTTTTTTGCATATATGTACCCATGAAATACCATTTAATTTGAGGCCTTAAGGCTTAGGGCTTGGACCTTGTGTGCCATCTTTTGGCAATATCTTTGAACTACTTGCAACTGTAATTGATCAAACAGAACTCTGCACAGGACCGTCAAAATGATGATTGGGTAGGCCAAGAGACGGTAAAGCTAGGCCGTCGATTCGACGGCTGGGTAGGCGGATGGGTTAAGAAAGGAGACAAGAGTAATGCGGAAGATTACAGGACAGTGAATCTCACAAGCATCGCTGGAAAGATCATGGAAAGCATGACGAGAGACCACAACCAAAGAATTCCTCGAGGTGCTCTCGCTCTCTCTCTCTCATCCGGGAATCTCAGCACGGCTTTAAAAGACGTCGAAATTGCCTTATCAATTTGCTCGAATTCTGCGATGGGGTGATGGACGAGATAGACCGTAGGAATTCCGTTGATATCGTTTACTAAGACTTTGCGAAAGCATTCGATAGCGTTCTTCACGAGAGGCTGTAGGTCAGATTGGAGGCGCACGGAATTCGGGGTAGGGTGCGTGACTGTATAAGTAACTGGCTGTCGAGAAGAGGGCAAAGGGTAATCGTAAAGCGAGAAGTGACGGCGTGTGTATGAGTCGCGAAAGGAGTCCCCCAGGGTGAGGTCAAACGTCTTATATTCGTAGCTTACATTGCCGACTTAGTTTAGGGCAATTCCAAAGTTATTTACGTAACACCAGACTCAAAATGAAAACAAGTATGATAGTATACCCTAAATGGTTTGGTCCAGAAATTCTGCTGACCTGTACCTATCCCAGCCAAAAAATGTCAAACTTCTCCCGTGGATGAAAAAAGTAAGGCCAATCATGTCGTGATTTGGCTTGACCTGGAACTTCCATATTTTCTAGAAAGAAGGCAGAGACCACCACTTTCCTTCATGCCGAATGACACTTGATTTAAAAAAAAAATGAAGTGGCTAGGAGGTTTCCAGCGTTGCTGGCGTACCAAATTTTTCCAAAAGTAAGGTTCAAGCAAGTGCAAAATCATAAAAATTGAGGGTGCAAAAGAATTGAAAAACCATCTCACGTCAGGTGATATATGTTTAGCGGATCTAATTTAGTCAAGTTTAGTATCAATACAATGCAGAAAAATTAGGTTGGAGGAAATTTTTGGAACAAAAATTCCGAATAAATTTTGTCTCCCATTACTCTGGAACTGCCCATGAAGGCATTACGTATAAAATCATCAAATTTTCGGTCGATACGAAAATACAGGGTGACCGGAAAGTTCGGAGACACTCAAAAATACCAATATCCCGATGCCATAAAGAACAATAAATGTTTTTTTTTTTTTCATAAGAAGGAACATAAGAAAACCTTCAAAATGAGTTAAACATCTTCGAAATAGCCCCCATTGGCAGCAATAACTTTTCTGAGGCGTTTTGGAAAATTGTCCACAGTTTCTCGCAGCTGTTTCACAGGGATTTCGTCCCATGCTTTCAGCAAAGTTAACTTGAGGCTGTCCAAATTTTTCGGCTGAGTAGCACAGACCTTTGCCTCCAAAAAGGACCAGATACTATAGTCCATCGGATTTAAATCAGGGGAGCAGGAGGGCCAAGCTTCTGGACCAATAAAATCTGGCAACTCGTGCACGCACCACTCTTTTCTTGACCGGCTGGTGTGAGCTGGGGCATTGTCTTGTTGAAATGTCCAGGAAGAATCCCCAAAATGGTCCCTTGCCCAAGGATAGAGAACCTTCTTCAGAACTTCATTTTGATAGTAATTGGCATTGATTTTGATGTTAGGAGCCACAAAATGCAAGGGTGTTTTACCGTCGGCTGTAATGCCACCCCAGACCATGACAGACTGGGGTTTTTGCATTCTTTGCACAAACCGAGATTCTGACAAGACTCTGGACCCTTTTCTGGCCCAGATACGATCATTTTGGGGATTAAACGCTTGCTGAACTGTAAAAACTTTTTCATCTGAGAACACGATCCGACGGTGTGAGTTTCGCTTGAATCTCGCCAGTAGTTTCCTTGATTTTTGCTTCCGCAATTCCTTGTTCTTCTTCGTAAGCACCTGAACTACTCTTTTTTTGAAAGGGAAAATGCCTAACTTCTTTCTAAGATAGGAGCGCAGAGTTTCGCGCTTGATCTTCAAGTGCTTTGCAAGACTTCGGCACTTCCGTTCCAGGTTTCGATCGAGAAGCTGTTTGACACGCTTTCGAAGAGCAGGATCCTTGAAGACACTGGGACGGCCACTTCTGGGTCGATCCTGAGTTGTACCAAGTTCCTTGTAGCGGGCAATGGCTTTGTACACAGTGGATCGTGGCAGTTTCAGCTCCTTGATGATCTTTGCAGGTGAATGACCTTGCTGAAACATGAAAATCACAGCTTCTCGGCTGGGGGCTGGGGCTTCAGCCCCCCCAAGTTTGGTTCAAGCCCCCCCCAACTCTGGTCTAAATGCATCCGCCACCCCCCCCTCCCTCCCCCCACAGGGCGAGGAGAAGTTAGCCCCACCATTGGCGAAACCCTGGCTACGTCATTGCTCTTGGGGGAGAAGGACAAGACGAGGATTTAAAACTTTTGGAGGCGTGGAGGAAAAAAAAGGCTCGTGAAGATCAATAAGTTTAAATGTGAGATCTATTAGGTATTAGTAATCTGATTTGGGTTCAGGAACCTTTCCCAACTCTGCACACACTGAGTCTTCGATTTTTTCTTGTCTGGATTTGGCTCTTGGCTGAATCCCGACAGCTTAGGCCGTGAAAATCTGGGCCCGTCCCTCCTTCGAGACTGATCTCAAAAAGGCAGTTCTGTTGCAGTTCGCTTCTAGTGTCAGTTCAGACATTTATTCAGAACAAAAGTCTCGAAGAAGATTGCAGATAGCGAGCTACGTATTGCCCAGCAGACAGACACCGCTAAGGTCGGAATCAACCAATCAGCATTGCGACACGTACCAACATGGCTTCGTACATATAGCGGCTTTCGTCCTGGTCCTTATCCAGGGAGAACCATTTTATCCCCAGCAATGAGATCGATTGGATGCCTAGCTGAGTCCGACTTTTTGCATTCATGACTAGTCCTTACTTGCGAAGTATACTGTTAGTGCTAGACTATTTAATAGGCTGATGCTATGGAATGGAGACCTTGACGTCGAGGAAGACGTGCGATCAGGTGCACGTTGTCAATCATAAGTATTCAGGACTGTTAGCCTAATGTTGGCCATTTCTATGCAGAGTTAAGTCGATCGGCTTACACCGATTTTCTTCCAACATTCAATGCCCCATTTTTTTTGCAGTGTTTGGAAGACTGGAAATGGTTTCTCAGATCCTGAGCATGTCTTTTTTGGTACTCTTGCTCTGTGGCATCTGGCATTTCAATGCTGTTGATTGTGTCAATGCCTCAGTCATGCGTGAAGATGAGCAACCAAATAACCGAATCCTTGTTCTTTTGGATTCTCTTGTCACCAAGGAAACTCATTCGATGTTCTTCAAGAGTCTGGTGGAAGGAAAAGATGGTAATGTGAAATACTTCACCTGTTGGGGCTGGAATTTTATAAAAATTTAAATAATCAAAATTGTGGGCTGCTTGATTTATCAATCATAAGTTGTATTTAAATTGCCTCATATTCAATGAGGAAGCCTACTATTTTTGAGATAGAGTATAGTATTTTCTGTTGTCTGTGCTTTAAGTTATTTTTGGGGGGAAAGCAAAAATGTTTAGCATGTTTAAAAAAAGCAATGTTCTTTCCAATAAATGATCTGAATGTTTTTTTATATTTTTTAAAATAAATATTAATGAATAGTTGATTTGTCAGGTGCTAAAGAGGGGAAAGTGGATGATGGCAAACAGGTCTAATTATTTCCATGTTGAGAGTGGAAAATAAAGGAAAATATCTGCTGCTTCATAAATTATAATAGTGGGCAGCTATTTTCTGGACATTTTTGTTTTCAAGACCTCTCTTTGCATGTACAGGGCTACCTATAATTAGGTTTGTGGAGTACATATGTACTTTAATGGGTTTTATACTTGGCAACATCCTGAATGCTCCCACATTGTGTATTCTCTTTTTAGATTTGATTAAAGTATATTATGAAGTTAACAAACCACATGGTTGTCAGTCTCACTCTTGATGTTGAGAAACTGCTTGGAGTACAACCAAGAGCACCCAGAAGGGGAGAAGGGAAGAGCCATGGCCCCCATCTGGAGGGGGTGGGTGGGTACCACCCACCCACCCCCTCCAGAGGGAGGGAGGGTTAACCACTTGAATGTCTGCTTTTTTTTTTCTAAAATGTCACTTTTTTTTGCAGATTTGAATTCTGTGGACATTTTAAAACTAAAATACAATATTTTAAAAATTATTTTGATAAGGATAAAGAGTTATTGGCTGATTGAGTGAAGTGAACAAGGCACTTTACTTGGAAATTAAAAAAAAAACATCCCATCATTGTGTGCTCTAGAAGTCTCATTTCTTAATGGATTTTGATCAATTTCAAACATTGCTCAGAATAACAAATACCTAGGCACCTATTGATTTTGGAGTCATCCAACCTTTGACTTCAGAGAAAATACAATTTAAAAAATGTGTATTGCAAAATGTTCAAATGTACGAACTCAGCCAGTTGGCAAACCCTTGAGTAGGTTTTTGGGCTGCCTGAGAATATCTCAGGCAAATAAATTTCAGCAGATAAACAATGCTCAAAAGTCCAGCATGGGATGGGTCCCCCAGAGAGAACCTGGCCTTCCCTTCTCTAGACACTCTGGAGGCCTGTGTTGAGCAACCCACCGGTGGGTCACTCCACATGTAATTTGTCATTGGTTTTACTGCTACATGAAATGTGTTAAGAGAAGGGAGCTAATAATGTGAGAATGAATTCTAAAATTGTTTGGGATATTGCTCCTCCAGGAAAGGTATAGATGTTCACCTCCTATTTGTGCTACTACCTTTTCTTCCCTGCCTCTTATTCCTTCTCATCAGTCCATCTTCATAATATCAAAAATTATAGTGTCTTAATAATGCATTGATGGCAGTGGTTGCTTGAGCTGAGAATTGAGTCCATTTATTGATGTCCTTGCAATACCTTGTTTACAACTGTGGAAAATGACTGGGCATGCAAAGGATTTCTGTTTAAGAAAGGAATGCAAAGTTTGAATGCTATTTCTATTGTTAATTTTGAACTACTCTTGAAGAACCATTTTATTTTGCTAATATGAATGTTTTCCTATTTTACCTCACTCTTAAAGAAGTGTTTCAGAAGTGAATTTGTGTTTCATCTGCACAAAAAATAACTTGATAGATACCCAACTACCTAGTTGATCTAAAGTTTCAGTGATTCACCATATCTAATGGGTGCTGACCACTTAATAGATGAAAATTACATCACCCAGCCTAGGGACAATACTGTACAGGGGAGCTTTTGGAACTATTACTGATATATATTCAATTTATCTTAATTAAACTTTCAAATAATGATGGGAAAACTTTGATTGATAAATCAATCAGTTAATATTTGATAGTTTTCATTGGTTCTTAGTAAAGAATAAATAATTTGAGTTTGCTTAGCCTGCAGTGCATCATAAAATAATTTATCATCCTGCATTGCAGGGAGACTTCCATATACCCTGACATTCAAGATGGCTGATGAACAGAATCTTCACCTCTCCAAGTATGGGAACTACCTGTATGATCATGTGATTTTATTCTGCCCCAATGTGGAAGAGTTTGGCGGCTCTCTCACATCTGAGTCCTTCATCCAGTTTGTGGATGATGGCGGTTAGTTCATTTGATTATGTCCTGTATTTCTGTTCTATTCAGGCATTGGAAAAGCGATTACTGTCTTCCATAGGGAACCTGCTGATAGCTGGAAGCAGTGAGTCAAGTGATGCCATTCGTGACATTGTGGCTGAACTTGGCCTTGAAATGGATGAAGAAGGGGCATCTGTCATTGATCATCACAACTTTGATGTTCGGGATGAGGGATTGGTGTGTATATTATATTTTCTCATGTTGCTACAGGGGGTGCTCAATATGTGATTACTGCAAATCAAAAACTAATTTATTATTAAGAACTGGAAATTAAGAATATCAGAACCCTTCAACATAATCCCCACCAACACCATCACACTTTTGGAGCCTCCTGAACCATCTTTAAATGCCTCTTTATAGGCTTTATGTGGTATTCCTTGAAGCACTGCCAGTACAGCTTTGCTAAGGCCTTCAATTCGGTGAAACTATCTCTAATTGAGGTTTTCTTTGAGGGTAGGGAACAGCCAGTACAGGGGACCAAATCAGGGGAGTAGGATGCACAGGGAAGGACTTTGATTCCAAAAACTTCTGGATCACTAGTGATTTATGGATGGAAGCATTGTCATTGACCCATACTCAGAAGTTTGACCCATACATTTTTGGAATAGAATGTCAAAGTCCTTCCCTGTGCACCATATTCACCAGATTTGGCCCCCCTGTACTCCTGGCTGTTCTCTACCCTTAAAGAAAACTTTAATGGGAGACAGTTTCACCAAATTGAAGACTTTAGCAAGGCTGTGCGGACAGAGCTGCAAGGAATGTCACAAAGAGCCCATAAAGAGGCATTTAAAAGGTGGCTCAGAAGGCTCCAAAATTGTGTTCATGTTGGTGGGGATTATGTTGAAGGGATCTGAATACTTTTTAAAATTACAATTATTAAAGATAAACAAGTTTTTGAGTTGTGGTCATTACTTATTGAACATCCCTCATATTCATTTCAGATAGTATTCTGAATTATAAATTCAGTGGCCATGATCAGCATCTTTTTGTAGCACACATTGGTTGTGGCCAAGGTGGAAAACCTAGTTGATTCTGCTATCATCAGAGGAAAAGTGGCACCTTCCATGCCATTTTTGTATCGTGGGACAGGACTCATTTCTGACCCTGAGAATCCACTGCTCATTGAGATTCTCACTGGCTCCTCCACTTCCTATTCTTTTAACCCCAACAAGGAGATCACTGAGGTTTGCTCCTCGTGTTAACTTTTGACTCCCTGAACTCAGATTCCACGAATACCCTTTTTCCTCTCATGTTTTTTCAGTACCCACATGCAGTTGGAAAGAACACACTACTCATTGCTGGAATCCAGGCCCGCAACAATGCCCGAGCTGTTGTATCTGGTTCCCTTGAATTTTTTTCGGATGAGTTTTTCCTAATGGATGTGAAACAAAGTGACTACAAGGAACTTCCCAGTTCAGGCAATCAACAGCTGGCTGAGAATCTGTCCAGGTGGCTTTTCAAGGAACGTGGTGTCATCAGAGTTGCTAATGTGGATCATCATAAACCTGGTGAAACCCAGCCCTCTGGTTATACCATCATGGATGATGTTGTGAGTGACAATCAGTCAGTGATGCTCCTTATTTTGATTATTGTTTCAATTGTTCTGCTTTTTGCATAGATTTTTGAGATCAAGGTGGAAACATTGGAGGAAGGGAAATGGGTTCCATTCAAGGCCTCTGACATTCAGTTAGAGTTTGTGCGCATTGATCCATTCGTTCGAAAGACCCTTCTCCCTGTGGCAGGTAAGCCAGGGCTCTATCGTGCTGAGTTCAAGATCCCTGATGTTAATGGAGTCTACCAGTTCAAGGTCAGCTATGAACGACTGGGCTATACCTATCTACACAGCTTCACCCAGGTAATTTGAATTTTTTCGAGATTGATAATGTGATTATTCCATTTGAGCCAAAATTTGCCCTCAACTTTTCATTGAAAAATAATAGGAACAAAGAAAATGTTGTACCAGTACATTAAATCTTTACTGCTTCAGTGATATTCTCTTCTTGACTTTTAGGTGTCTGTGCGTCCATTCCTCCACACACAATATGAACGCTTCATCTTCAGTGCATACCCATACTACCTGAGTGCATTCAGCATGATGATTGGGGTGTTCCTCTTTTCATGTGTGTTCCTTCACCACAAAGAAGAAGGGAAAGAGAAGAGTGAATAGAGTACAAGTCCCTTTTTGGTCTTTGATCTCTAAAAATGCTTTGTTGACAAGTGGGTGCAACAGTTCTTGTTTCAATAAAAGAGGTCTGACTGATCCACTGGTCAGTGAATATTTGAGGTCATTTCTGCTGGGAATGAAGTCTTCATTTTCACTACTTTTATCGAGCAATTGCATAAAGTAGTTCTTGCTTGATGCTCACATGCTGTTCATGCTATCATGGTCAATGCCAAATTTCCCTTTAGGGACTGGGTCAATATGACACCAACAATGAAATGCAATATGCCATTTAAAAAAAAGCTCTATGTGAGGCTGAAAATACACAACTTAAGGCAAAACTCATTGGGGGCAATTTGGACTGCCCCTTTAAACAAATATGACTTTAAAAAAACTTCCTGAGTTATTACCCATTAACAATGTTGGCTCTTTCTGAATGCACCCTGTATTCTATGTCCCATCATCTTCCAGTCAGGCCAGACCTTTTGGAAAAAAAAATCAACTGGAAAAGCTGTGGAAAAAGCTCAATTTATTCTTGATACAAAAGGATCATATCCATGTGCAACAGCCATTCTAGGGAAGACATACAAACACTCTTGGCTCTGAAACAATCAACAGTAAATTTCTTGCAGTAATGTCTCTCCATGACGAGGGATGGCAGACTACTGTACCATGAAACCCATCCTCTGCAACCAGAAACACGATGGACATGTTGCCAACTATACTAAGCAAGCACAGAGACAGTTGCTGATGGAAGACTTTTTCTCTTATTGTGGAGAAGAGAGAAACTAGAAAGAGATTCTGTTCTCATTTTGGATCTACATCAGTCAACCATGAAAAGTTCAGGTCAGCAGCAGCCCTGTCATGGTGCACAAGGAGGTATCACATTGAAATTCCCTTATATCACAACAATCAGGATCTGGCAAGAACACGTGTCCCCCCCTCCCCATTCAAGTACGATTCACTGATATGGACGTCAAAAGTACTCAAAATGATAAACTTAGAGATCTGGGAATGAAGGAAAGAACGAAAGTCGGTCAGTTATGGGGAGCCCTATGTCCATTCATATAGGAGAACCAACGTTCAGCTGTTGAAGAGAGAATCGGGTGTTCCTCAATGGTGGCCAGGAGCCGCAACTGATTGATATGGGTAACATGATAGTCCCAACGAGCGAGATTTGGAGGGGGACCTCCCCCTAAAGTGAAATGTCTCAAGTCATAGACAGACCCCGACCCTGTGTCGTACAAGGGTAACAGGGCTAGCAGAGAGGTCAGTCCCTCCTGGTAGAGGTGGTTCACAGATTCGTGAGAAGGATGAGTGGGTCCCAAGATGGACGCGAGATCGAAGAGTCCCAACAGGGAATAGATGAAGCCGTTGAGCACAAAACTGCTGGGGACGGTCGGGTATTCTTCGTAAAAGACGAATTTATCCAGGAAATACGTCCTCACGCCTCCGTCTGAACTGTTGACTCGAAATGGGTTCACTCCCTTCAAGGCAGCATCCAGGTATTTCTCGTTCTTGGAAGCGTGGAAGGCTCGTGCTAAGACGGACAAGGCTTGTCCCTGTGCCATTGCAGAATGCCAGCCAGGTTTCAGGATCAACTGTCGCTGAGCCAGACGCCGTTCGACGGGGACCGGCCATCCTCCCGAGTCCTGATCTTGAGACGACACGAACCAGTCCGCACCTTGGAAGAATAGGGTCACGTGGTCCGTGGTACTGAGTGTCACGTTGTCCACGTGTCCTTTCCCCACAAAGGAGATGGAGAGGGGCGTGAGACGAGATCGGGTCATTCTCTTCCTCCTCTTCCCTTCCATGACGGCAAGGCCTTTCTGAAGGTCGAAAAAGAGATCTCTCACAAATCGCCTCCATCCACTTCCAATCCTCAGTCCATACACGATTCCTTCTTTTTCCGACTCCACCGTAAGAAGATCCCGTGAAGTCTCGTAGTGGAGCTGGAAAACTTCCGGTCCATCTTCGTCTTTCACGGCTACCGTGATCTTCCCTTCGCCTTCAAGATTCAGATCCATTCCGAGAACGAGCTCCGCAGGCTTCCCAGGAAGGTGGAGCTCCATTCCACCCTCCTCTGAAGAAAACCAGATAAGAAAAAATAAAATTTGGCATAGCCTGAGTCCTGCACTTGGTCTTCTTTCACAAGTGAGAAAATGGTATAAGTTTATGAATCTTTCCCATCACTTTTGAGTGTTGACTTTCGGTGATAACTGCAGTCTGCAATATGCTTCACGAATATAATATCCATAAAGAAACTAGAGAAAATGCAAAAACTCATTTGCCTTGCCTTGCCTCCCTTCATCGCACACCAAATTGATTCATAGAGATAACAATATAGTTGCTTGGAAATTGCGAAAACGAGTAGAGTAGGCTTCGAATTTACAGTAAAAACTATACCCGAATACAAAAACCTCCTTTAGCTAACACTTCTTTAACCCTTTCAAACCTGGCGTCCATTCCAATGGACATTGCATTTACATTGTGCCTATGGCAACTTCTTAGGATTCTCGTGACTTTGCGCTCCATATTACGCTACAATGGGCGCAATTATGCATGGCTCAGTTCTATCAGAGGCCTTCTTTCGCCCATTAGTTTTGTAATCTTCTAATATTTAATTAAATGTTTAATATATAATATATGGTATGATATGGTACATTTATACAAAATATGAAAACTACATATAAAGCATGACAATTTCAATTACAATCACGAAAAAGCTCAATAATGCAAAAAAGGATATTATTCCGATGGTGGCCTTAATTCAGGTCTAAAAGGGTTAAAATTAGATGGACTCCTATAGGGGGGAAAAGAGCTGCTATTTAGCTTTAAGGCCCCTTTATCTCCCCTAAATGGGTTTTGTGCATTTGAGTTAAACAATCTCAGCCTGTTAATTGCTTACAAGTTAAAGTATGCCGCACTGCATTCGTTTCTTACAGATTTCAAAACACTGAAAAGAAGACGGAAAATGCACAAAACAACATGAAAGAGGCCTGAAAAAAAACCTAGAAATGTACGGTGAAAGCAAGCAAGGACACGTGGGACTAACTGGAGACGTGGAACTCCACGATGTTGGTGGAAAGCTGCTTGTCATAGATCCGCTGGACAAAGGAATTGGGGGAGATCTTCCATTGACCTATGACCTGGTCGCTGTCGGCAACCACGGTGATCCGAGGTCCAGGGTCTGTGAGGTTCTTGCTGAAGTGACTCAGGGCATACTGAGCAATCTGAATTGGGTACAGGTATCCAGAACTCGACCACTGCGTGCTCACTGGCACATCTGTACACCCATACGCAAGAGCTTAGGAAGGCATAGATCCTAGGACTATTATCAAATCATTGCCAGTCTAGCAAAGGCGAAAATATTCAAATTTCATTTTCAGGGGGCAATAATATGCTCGTTTTTCTAATAGAAAAATGAAAGTAAATAGCCAGCTACCTTTGCACAAGAGCATCGGTTTTCAGACTTTTCTTGGCGCCAACACACTTTTCGGGCAGTTCGAGCATGAAAGGTTCATTTTGAATAGTCCTTAGGAAAATAATAATTTATTTAGGACAATCATTTCAGGAAGTTTACTTCAAGATTACTTCAATGCGATAGCTGAGCCTGCCTCTGGGAAATCAAGATAAGACTCAACATTTACAGTGACTCAATGTGGATTGGCTATGTAATTCTTGGACGGGACCTGAACTTTTTTTTAAATATACATTATCCAGAATAAGCGAAGGCAGACATACATACGAAACGGTGAAAGCTAGGGATGCACTAACAACGAAACAAAGTATCAGTATCGGTCGATATTATGAGTAATATGGCCGATCTGATCCAGTTCTCCACTGCCGCAGGCCGCAATTCATCAAACAAGTATGTCTTTAGAGAGAGTGTTTGGTTGCTCTGGTGAGTTTCTCTATCTCATGAATAAAATCTCAGGAAACTAGGGGTCAGTGCGTTTCACTTCTGCTAGCCACTGGGAGGCATCAGTATCAGTATCGTTATCGGTGACACTTGGATCAGTGCATTCTAAGTAAAAGCAATCAAGAAAAGATTGCAGCAACATATTGATATTGGTATTCTTCCTTTATAGATGCTCTCTTAATAAACTTGTAAGCCATGAATTTGCAATGAGTCAATTTTGAACAAAACTACATATTGTACACAATTTATTACTAGAGCTGGCTGAACTCAGAAGGGTGATACTTTGGAAGCTGTTCTTCAGAAGAGGTTTGCTGCCCATTCCTTAAAGTGCTCGTTTACACCAGTAAAGCAGCATTGTAGCCTCCTAGCCTTCTTGCCCTTCTTTGGCGATAGGAAAAATAAAATCTGCGGACACCCCAGCACCTCTAGGTGCTACGAGAAACAGGTTGAGAACCACTGCAATTGACAGTTGGGAGTTTCAGCTCTCTGGTGTAACAGTATACATTCCTCAATAATCCTGGAATAATAGTAAATTATTGCCCTTTTGTCAGACCTTCGACAACATAAACACTTTCCTGGACACCGATTTCGCCATTTAGGGATACGTATTAGACAGCAACTTCCTTGTTTATAGTATGGGGTTCTAGCCATGCTTGGCTGCACTGGGTCAGGCAGTTGAGCAAGTGTGTATGCTCTCGAACGGGTGTCTGAAAAGTGTCTACGAATTATGAAACTGATTTTACTATGCAATTAAAACATATAAATTCCTTACTAGCTACGGCAGGCATTGCCATTACGAATTATTAAAAGCAAGACGAAACATAAATTTGCCTGGGAAAAAAAATCATCAATGACACCTTAAATTTTAAAACAAGGCAACAGTAAGACTTGTGGATCACTGGCTTCGCAGAACACACTTCCTTTCCTCAACTCCACAAAATAAATTGCGCTAATCATTCAGTTGCTCCTCAGAGCACAATCGAAAAACCTCAAAGACCATTGCAGTACCAGTGAAAGGCATCCGCGGAATCATGGAGAACATCTCTAAAATGCTGGCGCATATGTGAAACTTAGAAGGTTTACCTTACTTGTATTGCCTTGTATTGAAATTTGGGGTGTCACTGATAATTTGTTTTATTACTACATAAATTTCATGTTTTATCATTTGTGATAGCAATGGGTACCCTACCAAAACCACACTCATATTTTTTCATTTCTGATAAAGCCGGAAGGACATGGGGGAGGGGGCTGGGGGGAAAGGATCGGTTGCTTCCTTTGAATCGATCCGTGAAGGGATCCGCCCAGCTTGGAAAATATATTCGTTAGAACCCTTTAGCATTTATTAACTTTCCATATTAATGACGAGGACTTTATTGGCGACAAGACATCCCTTCAATTGCAATTTGTGGACCTCATAACGTTATTATTAATTCTGATAACATAGCTCCAAACCCTACCACTGTAGAATTTCCTGGAGATCGTGCTGATATTCTATTATTGCTACACTTCTCGCCAAGTTGCTGGGCCTCACCCTCACATCCTACAGCGCTAATGACTTGTACAATGCAATCCCAAATTCATAATCCATCTTGACTTGAACTCCTAAATTCGATGCCACGAACTCTGGAAGCCACAAAGAAAGGTTCCATCACTGCAGTGAATACTCTCCTCTTTCTTTATTTTAAAATCGGTTTTCGAGTTTAGGTGGCGAAACGCAGAGATAGGAAGGGAAGGACACAATGAGACCAACATACCATGAAGGGCAGATATGCACTTGACCCGATCACGGACCTCCACATTGTAATTGGAGAACCAACCGAAGGCCCCCTTGGGATCATAAGGCTCCTGAGGCTCATACAGCCCCTTCTTTGGGGCATGGATCCATTCGAAATGAGGATCAGTCTCTCCTCCCCTCAGCTTTCCTTCCACCTTCACAAACATCGTCAAACAAGCTTGGATTTTATAAATAAATCTTTCCTGAAGCCAAATTATTCTCAAACTTATTGAGGGCAGGGATGTGGAAAGAATCTGTAGGCGAAAGTTCATATTGAATATATTTACCTAATTGCATAAAAATGCATATTTTCATTGTCATAATCAATTATGGCTTTAATACATCCATTCCATTAAAAAATGGTCAAGAAAAGCACTGGATAATCCATGTAAGCATGAAATGGATCCTACAAGGGCCTAGGTAGACGGAAACCTTCATATTAAATTCTTTCGAGCTAATATTAGGGCGTGAAGTGCAAAAGAAAAGGGTCGAAATACCTGAGCCGTTCGCAAGCGATTCTCAAACTGTGGGTCGCGAGAATTTTAAATCACTATATCCGCATCCGCTCAGGATAAAACATGCACGGCAGGAAATGCCAGAGTTTTATTTGCGTTATAATTACATTGAAAGTACCTCCTTCTGGATTCCGGTAGGTCACGGAATTTTCTGGGCGTCAGCAAGTGGGTTCAACGAAGTCTGAGATCCACTGACCTAAATCATAATGAAAGAAAAATAGCGTGCTTGGCTTGCTCACAAATACATCCCATTACCATCTTCGTATCTTGCAATGCACATATTTTGCATATATTTGCATATAATGTGCATACCTTTAGAAAACGACGAGGCACATTTCATCAGCTTGTGATGCATATTCCCTCCATTGCATGCAAAAAATCCCAGTCCTAATCACGGTGCTCCCAAGACTCACCCAGATCTCCCTTCGGGGAGTGCATGAGATTCCCTCCCATCTTTTATGGAAGATCTTCTTTTATGATCCCACTCCCTTTTCCCTTTGGGACTCGTTTCTAGGAATCTCAGCGTTTCGCTGTGTATGCTCCCATAATAATAATCAATAGCAGAATATGGAAGCACGGTCGGGCAGAGTGATGGATCGTTCTGGATTACTTCTTCACTTTCCCTTTTCCATACAATTTTATTAAATTTCTTATCTGGCATTACATACAAACCTCACAAACACGGATTCGGAAGGAACCGCCGAATCGATTCGTGTTGTTCGTGCTAAGCATGCTCGCGTTCGAAGTTTCACTGAACAGGGTGGCCCACAAGTCGCGATTTGTTCAAAAGAAGTACAATTGAGTTAGGGTTAATATAATTACTTATTAACAATAGTGTAACAATAAGTAAAATTGGCTAACATAATGTACATATTTATAAATTATTTATGTCTATATGGGCTCCACCATGTTCGACAGAGTGCCATTCGGTTTATTTGAACCGATCGCGACTTATGGGCTACCTTGTAAAATTTTTCATTTTGCTTTCTTTACGCATGTTTTTGCCCGCGTGTCTCAATTTATATTTCCACATTATCTGATGTCTTAAAAGCGTCCATTATTACTATACCTCGAAGTATTGAGAGAGAAAGGTGAAAGGGACGAAGACTTCGTCTTCAGAAGCTCGACACATGATGCTATCCTCTCCATTGATGATACACGGGAGATTCTTGCAGTCCCCTTCCACGTGAACCTAAGAGTATGAAGGGGGTTAGAAAATAAAATAAAAAACGTTATCCACTGAGAGGAGGACTGAGGGCAGCAGAAAAATTTTACGCCGATTCATTTCCACAAAATCTTAAAATTTATTTTTCTAACTTTCGAAAATGTTGAATTTCGCGATCTTAACACATATTTTACCTCAGCAAAAAGTAAATGCAGTGAGAAATATTTTCTCTGAAGGTTACGCATGCCATCTACCATCTCTAACTTCTAAGGAACAATACGTCCACCCTCCTTTCCCCTCGCGAACAGCGATTAAATTCGCTATTTTGTGCATTGCGAAATTCAGTCACCTGCACCGTACCCCGGAGCGGAACTGCGGTCGCCCTCTCCACCCATCCGTCTTCATCGATCACAGGGTCGTACACAGTTCCCAACTTCCCGGGTTTACTTAGCGGCAAAGGGAAGATAGGGAGTGAATCGAGTGGTCGCGCATCCGGAAGCGTGATGGATTATGGGTCGAGGAATTTCATTCCTTCTAATCCCCAGTTCCCCCCCAATCTCGTAATGGGTTTCTATTGCATGCCCGGGTCATTTGTCTTGCGATTTATCGCGACGATCGAGACGAGTTCCTGACGTAAAAGACGGGAGAGAAGCCCAAAGCGGGGAAACTCCTCATTAGACTCTAAAGCAATACTTTTTTTTCTCCTTTTGTTTGGGCCAGGGAGTGCAACAGCTGAAAACGAGAGACGTCTGCAGCTCATTAGTTTTCCCGCCTCACCGATAATAGTTTCACCTATAAGGTGCAATTGCCACGTGCACACGACTCAGCCTTTCATGATTATTTCTAAATGCGAATCGATGAACGCGAAGTTAATACAATCGCATAAATTTATCGTCTTCAGCAAGCGAAAGAAGGAAGCTCACAGATGCACTTCTCGATACTGTCTCAGGAAACGCGAATCAGAATGAAGAAATTTACCAACAACGTGAGGGACAAGAGGGGAAGACGGTACTTAAAAAAAAAAGTCTCAACCAGAGGGGCGGGGGGGAGAGAGAGAGAACCGGGGTGGAAGAGAAAATTCAATCCCGTCGCCTTGACAATGAATCCCAGGGGAAGCAAAGAAAAGGGAGGGAGAGACGATGAAAAATAACAGAAAGCATTCTGTCCCTTCCATCCCACAATCCTGACGTTGATTACTTGTCATAACAGAACTTTCTTCTTTCCTTCTAAAAGTCTTATCTCGCATGCAGAGCAAACTCGGCCCCCTGCCACATCATGACAAGGATGGAAGGGGAAGAAATGCATAATTTCACTCTCGCCATCACATGGATGAAGTCAAGAATTAAAAATTCAAACAAATTATCTCTGGGGCGCCAAAAAACTTTCCACTCTAGGCCCGAAATTTGACACTTGTTTCTTCTGATATTTCTTCAACTCCTTTCGATTAATTTTCTCGATCTTTACAAAGACCCACCTGGTTCCCCTTGATGTCCCTGGCAGTCTTGACTGGCGGGTCCTCCCCATCCTCGTCGACCATGTCGGGATCGGGGGCCCCCGATCTCACCCGGGGGCAGGACGCCCAGAAGGTGAATGACCCGCAGAAGAGACCGGCGAGGGCGCAGGTCAGCACCAGGCGAACGTTCAACCGTCGACTCATTCTCCTCAGCATCGCCTGCTCACTTCATCACTCTGAGATATCAAAGGACAAAGGGCAGAGAATTAAAGGACGATCGTCTCTTCGACAGACTTCTCGCGATCGAAGCAGCACCTCTTTATCCGAACCAAGAGAGAAATCGGATCATTGCCTCACATAGTGTTAACATTAATTAATTTAATAATGCGACGAGTCGGTGAGGAGAATGAATGAAAGAAAGATCCGAGGAGATTATTCGAGGACGAAATGTAATTATGCACCCCTCCTCCCTCTAGCGAATGACGTAGATGCATCACAGAGCTGAGAAACAGTCTGAAGCTCATAGTGTCACACGGAAATTCTGTCCTCCATCTAGTTATCGGCATTTGAAGCGGCAAACGTCCACGTTGACGCTATTGGCTAATAATGGAAGGGATGCATGGTATTTGACCTCAGCAAGGGAAACGTCAAACATGAGCTGGCATATGAGTGGCAACGCGCGAGTCCCGCATAAAATACCCATGGAATCTATTGGTTCTTTTGTCCTACATTATTCCCTGAATTTCCCTTCCTGGTTGCGAGAAATCTGGACGACGAAATCCAGACACTACCTTCCCACTCCAGTATGCATTGTAACACTCGTGAGGAGTTTGTATCGGCGTGCTCGATGGTTCGTCACACTGCCTGTTGTTCTTCCGGGGTTCTTCCGGGGCACCGCGGCACAGGAACCATGAACCGATCGGGAGTCTTCACGGAGGTTTCTCCTATCAAGCTGATGACGTGCAGATTTCGTCTCGGCTGGTCGTGGCGCACACGATGGAAAGCAAATAGTCCACTCCTTAAAAGCACTTACTGGGAATAAAAGCTTTTAATCTATGATGTCAGATAAGAGTGCTGACAGAGAGGACCCGTAAAAACTTCTCTGCTGTCAGGCAAGGACTAAAGGCCTGACGCACATGGACGAGGAGCTGCGTGGCAACCACTGCGACGGTCGCAGTGAGCAGGGCAACGGTATCGCGTCGGTCGATTGCCGTGTGCAGCGGTGAGGAAGATGAGTTGCTTACGGTTCGAATCACCTGACAATGACAAGCAATCCATCATCCAAGTTCACCCTCGCTTACAATATCAAGATCGGAGCCAATCCTAAGAATTTTATGTCGTGAGTTAGACGACTGAGCGATTCGTGGCAGCGTGCGAACCGGTCCAGACACACGGTCAGATCGCGACCGAAATAGGCACATGGGTTGGGTGCCGGGGCGAGGCGTACCTTTCGCAGTTTCCCACAAAAAAATTCCAAACTTTCAGAGATTTGCAAACTCCAGCAGAGGAAAGGGAGGAAGAGGGAATGCAAGCTCAACTGAGACGTCGGCAATTGTCAAACCTACAACCGCCATGTCTCTAGCAGTCTGGAAGTTGTCAGTTAGTACTACCTTCCATCCTCTATCAACTTACGACTCAAGGGTCTCCTCAAAGAGATCGTGGCTGAATTTTCACTTACGTTCGCCATTGCAATCGTGACCAAAATTTACTCGCTGGCTAGCTGCCGGAGTGAAACGTGCCCCTCAGGAGTTCTTTCAGAGATTTACTACCACTCAAAGAGAAGCTCTATGAGGAGGGATGGTGGTTCTATGCATCTCACCATAGGTCTGACTCATTCCCAAAGTATGGCCACAATCTCTTTAATTCCCTCACAGCAGGCTCGGTTCTGGAAGAAAGCGACGACGTTTCGTGAGACGCACACCACGGTACGCACCTTCAATCCCCGGAGAGGGCTAAGGATGCACGGAGCAATGCCAAAATTCAAGTCAAGCAAGCATCACGGCTTAGATATTAGGGGGTCGGCTTCGAAGGAGAAAAGCGATCACGGAAGAACGAAACGACGAAACTGCCCGAGTGCAGGGTGGTGCGCACTGTCATCGGTTGGGTCCAATTCCAGGTAAGCACTTCGAATCGACCCGAGAGTTCAGGTGCAAGGTCGACCTTGAACGAGCTGGAGAATCTAGTTCCCTTCGTCGGGCCCGAATACGACAAGAATATCATTCACAATGAATTTAAGAAATTCAACAAAGGTAGAGAGCACTCGTCATCATACAGTACGTTTTCAAGGCGATTCCTGGGCCTTCCTGCAAAGATGCTTACCCGCATCCCCCAAAGGATTCGATCAGCTTAGAACGACGAAGAGAGAGTGAAAAGGGGCGATGAACGGAGAGCGAGCAAATCAAATCCAGCTTTCCTGGCATTTCTGGACAGTACCCTTTCTCTCCCCGTCCGAGGTTGATATCCAGAAGCCACATGCAATCTAATTCCATTCCAATCACCGTGGGATCAGTGCGAGAGGAAGATACAAAGAGAAGCATAAGGCAAGAATATGATTACAATTTTGACTCAGCGGCGAATCGAGTTTTCCAGTTATGTAATCCATCCGCGAAGATTCCTTCCTTCTTCGAATAAAAAAAAGTTGATTCAGCGATGGGGCCAGAAAGAAAAGGGGCGTGTTCAGAGCAATCAACTCTTCCTCGATACTCCCATCGCTTTGGATGAGAGAGAAGGATCAGGAATGAAAAACATCCTGCGGCACTTAGACTTCATGAGGAAAGGCGAGTGGCCACATTTGATCTAGGAACGGTATCTGTCCCCGAGAAAATGAAAATACGAGCGAAACGTTGACAAGAAACCTGAACGTCAGAGAAGTGAATAGCTCATTTAGAGAACGAACCCTGGATCCAAGAGAAAATTCTTCAGCGAGCTGAATGCAATCGTTCCATAGGATGGTTGGAAGGAAAGGAAAAATAAATATTAAGGAAGGAAAGAGATCAAGAGAATACAAGCGTCTGTTCCAGCAACGTGTTGTCTAGACGGAACAATTTCCTTCGCTTGCATTACTTTCTATGGGTTTATTTTTCTGGGCTCAGTGAAACCCAGACGTACGAGTCCGTATCTGGGGGACTCCCTTGGGGAGGGTGAAATTAAGATACTAATGCTGCCTATGCTATCTGCAGGACATATGAAAAGTCACTGATTTTCTTTGTCTCCTTTCAGGTTTGATTTTTAGGACAAGTCTGGCATTCTTTGATGCAGTAACAATTAGGATTTTATACGGCAAGGCAACTTGCACATAAAAGCACATTCTAGGTTCTCTGTTCATACAAACAAAAAGTTTCCCAATCGATGGATGGTGGGTGCGAAGCCATCGACTGGCCAGCATTTAGCCCTGACTCCAGCTCGTGTATCGTCAGAGACAAAAAATATCGGAATAATTTGAAGCCACAGGGAAGTGAATGCCATTTCGGGTCAGAGGTTCCATGCAACGCACGATATATTCAAGCTGAGGATTAAAAAAAAATCATTGGCGAAGAGGGATGGCCTACTGAATATTATTAAGAGGAGGACTGTCATTATTTTGCGACGAAATCTTCCCTTAAGAGTCACCTTTGAGTTCTTAAATGAAGTAATTCTGATATCTTCCATACTTCATGATTTATTTAGAAAATAAAATAGCAAGAGACTTTTCCTACACCCTGTATGTTTCCTTCCTTTGAAGAGCTCTAGCGAAGTGGCTGAGGCCATACGGGTTAGACCAGTGGTGCCCAACCTTTTCGGTTGGGGGGTCACATAGCTCACTCCCAGTCATAGCGGGCCAGTCACTAGTATTGTAGGAGACTATTTTAAAGAAACCTAAAGGGTATTTATTGTGGGTTAAGGCCTCGTGGGCCACTTGTAAGCACCTCGAGGGCCACTCTTTTGCCCGCGGGCCACGGGTTGGGCACCACTGGGTTAAACGAATCACAAGTATGCCCAAGAATCCCCTTTAAAAAAAAAAGAGGGATATTCCACTAAGCCATGAGGACCAAGGCCGTATTTATGGGGGGAGGGGTTCATGGGGTTCAAACCCCCCCCCCCCGAAATTTTTTTCTTAAATTTTTGCAATACCGCTATTCGTCGGTGTAAACGGTGCAGTACTTGGTCTTTTCTATCTTTAATAGCTTATGACTTATTAAACACTGCAACCTACAGGAAAATCCAGATGTCAAAAAGGCTTACAATGACAAGCATAAAAAAAAATAGCCACAGGGCGTACGCCAGACCTCATCCCCCCCCCCCCCGAAATGAAATTCTAGATACGGCCCTGATGAGGACCATCATGATGATAGATGCAGTGTTGCTACCGCCACATCTATATTCCCCTCCTACTTACTGCTGTAGTTGTAGGGGGGGAAATTGCAGGGAGAAGAGCCGGACATCCCCTCTTTTGAAAAATAATCAAACCTCCGGTTCCAGTTCGAGTCCGAATACCCTTCTTTTACGAGGGGTGACCAAACAGACAGGAGAGATTCTGTAACTCCTTTATTACTTGATGTACAAAAGCCAAATCTCGATGGGATCTTGTATTGGGCCTTGGGGTGCATGGGTAAAACTTATTGCATCCTGTTTTTCTTCCGAGTTTCACTTTTTGAATGAAACTAGTGAAAACGAGAGGGGGCATTTGATGGATTCAAATAGAAAATTCAGAGCGTTGTAATATTGCGTGTGAAATTGGAGGAATGCGACAAATGAACTCATGCATGTTTATGCTGCTTTTGGAGCAGATACCCCTAGTTGTTCGATGATATTCGAAAGGAACAACCGGTTCAAAAGACCGGGAATGACTTGAGGTAATGTCGACCATCAAGAAGAGCAGCAAAAGTGACACCCTCAACCAGAAGTAAGAATCCGTGAGCCCTCTCAGATGTCTCTCATGGGGGCAACTAAGCAATTTTCCGCTAGGTTCCATTCCTCGACTGATGATGATCGACCAGACCCTGTCAGCCCTAAAGGTCCTGTTTTCTTACTGAATCGTCTGCGCCACGCCCACTCGAACGCCTGAAAGTCTCTCCAAACGTGGCACATTAGCCCACTTCCACGAAAGATTTCATGGCTCTCAAACTGTCTCAATTGGTTAATTAAAAAAATTCCTTACTCATTTTTGTCAACGGCGTTTGTCAAAGAGTCCGTTAAAGAAATTATATATGAAAAACCAATGAAAATACATTTTGCCAAGACCCATACATTACAACTA